GTGTCCCCTGTAGAGCCCTATCAAGGGGAAGCTGAAGCTCACAGACACTGGAAGAAACAAAGCAAGGGGATGACAACAGGGTCATTGTCCCACTGCATCCATGAGAACTCAGGATGCTCTGAAGTGGAAATCTCTCCCTTCTTATACAGGTACTAGCTGAGCCAGGCACTATTAGAGTAGCCGTGTGCTCCTTCCTCTCTTTGAAGTCAATGCTGGCCACACTGTGGACAGATGCACAGCAGTGGGGCAGGAGCACCTGCAGCCACTCGGTGACACAGCCAAAGGCAAGGCCACAGGCCCCTCCAGGTGTTAGAGGTAGAGGAGGAGGAAGGGATAAGGCTGGTTTGAGAGCTGGGTGGGACTTTGCACAGATGGCCTCTGATTTTTAGACCCTATGTATCTCTACGCTGTGGCCTCAAGGGACAGTGGCTTAGCTATGTTACAATGCCTGTCAGTCCCTCCAGGCTCTGCCATGGGGGAAGGTTGAGGGTTAGTATTGTGTTTAAAACTGTTGTTTTACATTTATTTGGGAGGAGGTAGTGTGCACTCGCGCACACACACACACACACACACACACACACACACACACACACACACGCCATGGCATGCAGAAGGGAGTCAGGACAGCTCTTAGGAGGCAGTTCTCTCCACCCTGTGGGTTCAGGTCTGCAGACTTGGTGGCAGAACCTTCACGCTGAGCTGTTCTCCAGCCTTGTTGTGCATTTTAAAATCACCTTTGTGCAGGCTCCCACTTTATTCCAGCACTCGGGAGGAGAGGCAGGCAGACCTCTGTGAGTTCAAGCCCAGCCCGGTCTACAGGGCAAGTTCCAGGACAGCTAGGACTGTTACACAGAGAAACTTGTCTCAGAAAGGCCCCCCCCAAAAAAAAACACATTTGTATTTTACCCCTCAAAAAAAAGTGGTTTAATTTTTATGTGTATGGATATTTTGCCTGTATATACTTGTCTGCATACCATGTGTGTGCATTGCCTGTGGAGGCTAGAAGAGTTGGATCCTGGGAGCTGGAGTTTAGATGGTTGTGATAGGTGCTGGAGATCAAACCTGGGTCCTCTGTGAGAGCAGCCAGTGCTCTTAACTGTTGAACCTCCTCTACAGCCCCATCTTACTTTCAGCTCAAACCTGTACCCTGTGTCTGTACCCCATTTTAAAAACATAGTACAGATACAACTTAAACAGAATATGACACCCCTTTCTTCTGGACTCATTTGAAGGGATCTAGGCTCTTTCAACAGTGTCCAAGGGTCATGCTGGTCAGAAGCCCACAGGGTGCCCATTCTGAGCCCACCGTGTTTCTCTGAGCTTTCTACTTGGTAACTGTGATGTAGTGGCTGCTTACTCCACTGTTTTGCCTTAGCAGTCCCCTTCCTTCCGTGTGAGGGCACATTGGGGCGGTGAGAAGGGTTCAGGAAGAACTTGAGTTAGTGGCAAGCAGGTAGAGACAGCATGCCCAAAGTCCTTGCCTGAGTACAGAGAGACAGACATGCTCAGAGTGGATACAGGAGCAGGGGATGATATGGGAACTGAGGATAAACAAGTAGCCCAAGTTGCCACTAGAGGTGGCAGCCACACGATGGCCCGGTTTGCTGTTCGTGGTGTGTCCTGTACATGGTCCCAGGCACTCAGAGCCTGGCACACACTTGTGCAACTCTGGAGTTTGCTCTTCCTGCTGCTTAGGCCCCGGCTCCTGTTAAGGTGTTCAGGACTGCCCAAGGACCACCACTTCAGGTGCAGGTCCGAAGTGACAATGGCAACGACTTGGTGGGGAAGCTGCCATCCTAGGTTCGTAGAAGTTCGAATCCTGATTTCTGGGCCACTCTCCTTCTGGTCACTTCCAGGGAATTGCTTTTCTCTTTGCTGCCTGTTGTCTCTCTCCGCCCAACCACTCACCCGAGGGCACCAGGCAAGATGGCTTTTTTCCTGGGCAGAGACACTCATGCAGCCTCGAAAGGAGTTGACAGGAGAAAGGTGATAGTGTACTCTGACATGTGTCCCCAGCATTGGGTCCTGCATCTCTGGTCTCACCGTGGGTTTCCCTGTTCTGTCTCACATCCCCGAGAGGAGCCACGTGAGAGCAGTGTCCCCTTAGCCCCTGTCCTCTGCAGCTCTTGCAGCCCCACCAGTTTTGAAAGGTACCTTGGCCCCAGGCTCTACCCCATCTGAGACCCTCCAATGTCCATTGAGGTTGAGGTCTCTTCTTGGGACCCAGACTCAAAGGGAGAGGGCCTGGGGAGAGCACCTATTAGCCATCTCTTAACCTTGCTTGGGTCATTGGGTGCTGCCTCCTCACCTCTTCTCCTGGCAAAACCCCGCTCAGCCTGCAAGCTTTGGTAAAAATGATGACCAGGACATGGTGACTATTAAGACACATTTTGGGGATCAGGGACCCTAGCCTGAATGGCATCACCAAGGGCCCCTTGTAGGGACTCCTCCTTTCAGGATGTATGCTCTCTTCCCTGGGGCACAGATGCCACCTGACTCACTCAGCACCACCCAGACCTGTGGGCTCTCCTTAATGGGGGACACAGGCTTCCCAAAGGCATAGACTGTTGGTGTCTGCTCATTTCCTCAGTCCTGACCCTGAGGGACTAGCCAAGAGCAGACAGCAGACTCAGAAGGGAGCAACTGGCCTCAGACCTCGGACGGACGCACAGACTAATCCCTGGCCCGCCAGGCAGTGCTGTCCGCTTCCTATTGTTGGCTCTTGTGATTGAGCCTTTATCCTTCTTAATCTCCCACGTGCACCCCTCTCCGGGCCAGCGCTCTGTCCTGCACATTCACCCCTGTGAGACTCTTTCCTTTTGATAAGGACCAGAGCTGGGGGCATGCCAGGCTCCTGCTGCTGCCCTTGTACACAGAGCGAGCAGGCCATGAAGAGCACTGCATACCTGTGACCCCTGTGCTCTGCAGGAGTGGGCTCTGAGGCAGGGTCCGGGCAGGGTGTCAGTGTCCACGAGTGGACATGAATGATGCCCTGTTGGGGGCCTCAGAGCAGGAAAGGCACTGGATGAGCCATTTTAAAGGGAAGGTCTGAGGCTTAGGGGCAGGAACTCCCCAGGACCACCCCTCCATGGGGGAACCCCACCATTACTTTGGCCCCACAGGAATCCCTAGGTTGGCTGCTCTCTGGGATACTCCCTTCCGCAACTGTGGCGTTCTCTCCTACTCCATCTTTACTGTGGTTGGTGGTGCTTATAAACCCAGCCCCGTCAGTCATGTCAGGGCTGCTTCCTGCACTTTCAGCAGGCAGCAAGTCACTGAGCTGGGTGTCCCTATCCTCCCAGTGGGAGTTCTGGAAGCTGCATTGGGGCTCCTCAGCAAGACCTCCATGCTAGGCAGTACTGCAGTAGGTCTGACCCTACAGACTGGATGGACATGGCCAAGCAAACCCTGAGGCGGTCCCCATAACCACCTTGGTCCTGAGTTGTCCTGACACCTCACTGGAGGCTCAGGTTCTTCTTTCTGCAGAGGGCTGGTTGCTAGGCACCTAAGGTGGTCAGGAGCTGCCAGGACCTCTCCTTTCCTGAGAGTTGAGGCAGAAGAAACTGAAGGGTTAGGGGACAGCGTGAACCGCCTCCTCCCACCGCTTGTTTTAAGGGCTTATGTGCTTGTAAAACTTTGCTCGTGTGGCTGACCCTTCACTGCCTTACCTGAATTCTGGGATTTCTCTAGACCGTGTATCCTCTCATGACTTTGTCACTGAATGACCTCCTAGTGCCAGACCTGGGGCACAGACGCCATCCCTACTACTCGTCTCTAGCCTGAGACTGCCTAGGTCTGCAGGGTCTGGGTAGGGGACAGGGGCAGGCTGCCTGCATGCTGCTCTGGGCCTGGATACTACAGGTTGCACCCAGCGGTCCTCCCTAAGGATCACTCAGATGGGCTCTGACTTTAGGGAGGTGAATAGTAAGGAGAGTGAGTGGCATAAGCGGTAATGCTTTTTAAAAAAAAAATGATATTTTTTTTCTGGTTTCAAAGGCTTATGCGCTGGTAAAAGTTTTGAGAAGTATAAAAAGGTTAAAACAAACCGCCCCCATCCGTAACTACACCACTCAGAACCACTGTTAACATTTTCTGTGACTCCAGGGTTGTTTTTATGCATTTATATATGTTATATATTTTTAAACAAAAATAGTATCATGCTATATACATTATTTTATAAGCTTTTTCTCCTTACATAGTATATCTTTCCTCATCAGTGCATATAGGCCTTGATTTTTACACAGGCTGCATAGCATTCTCTGCTGTTGGCGTGCATATATGTTTAACTGGTCCCCACAGGTGGACACTAAGAGTACTTCCATGTTGCCCCAAACCATTCCTGTCATTCAGTCTCTGCCTGGAGCCCCATCTTGGACTCAGTTCTGAGAAGAGGCTGCTGGCTCTGAGCGTCTGCTTCCAGAAGGGCCATGCAGGAGGTCACCGTTCCCACAGCCGGTGGGAGAGCAAGGTGGCTCCGGGAGGTGCCCCATTCTGACTCTGTCTTTCTTCTCTCTAGGGCGGAACCCATCAGAACCACTGTCTTCCAGTACCCTGTGGGCTGGCCACCAATGCAGGAGCTGCCCCCCTCCCTGCGGGCACCCCCTCCTGGAGGGTGGTCCCTACAGCCCAGAGTCCAGTGGGGCTGAGCCCTTCCCCCCTCCCTGACTTCTCCTGGTCACCAGTCACAGTAAAGACATTTGCTCAACCTATGAAGCGGGGCTGCCTTCCCACTGCTCCCCCTAGAGCCTCTGAGACTGTGAGCTTGGCCTCCTCATCCACCCACCATCCCTCAGGGCATATCTTGAGAAGATGGTGAGAAGCATCCGAATGTTGATAAAGAAAGTCTGCCCTCCATGGTCTTGCTGGCACTCATGTTGTTGACTCTGTCCTCCTGCCTCCGTCAGGGGACAGGCGAGCTGGAATGAGACAAAATCCCCTCCAGGGTGTCCTCTGCATACAGCCCTTCTTGCTTAGGGATCATCAGTAGGGGCTCAGCCAGGCTGGGCACAGAGCATGCCAGTGTGGCTGTGGCCCCAGGCTAGGGAAAGAAGCCCAAGGACTCTGCCAACTGTCTCGGCCCTGCGTCTGCCCAGGCTGCACCAGTGCCAGGAAATGGGATGGCACACGTGGAGCGCGTATGAGAGCTGAGAGCTGGATCTCTGGCCTTGGGAGTACAGAGAAGTGGGACCCTAGAAGGGCAGGCCAGATCTTCAGGGGAGTCAGGTCCTTCAGGTTGCACCCTGGCCAATGGGGAAGTCATGTGGGCTACAGGGGCTCTGCTCTCCTCCTCAGTTGGGTTTCTAGGTTCTGTGCTGGGAGACAACTGGACCTTGGTCTCTAAGACTTTGGTGGAAGGCTTGGCTACCTCTGATGCCCCATCTTGCATGAGCATTTGCCTTTCCTGAAAAGCCATGTGGAAGAAGAATCTGAAGCCAGATCTTAGCCCCCAGCCTCAGGCTCCTCACCTCTGAAATGGACAGACACAGGCCCCAGAAGGTGGGTGGGAGGACTGGCTTTGAGTCTAAGGAGGATCAGAGGAAGGGACCCAGGAGCCCCAGCCTTGTGCCCACCTCCACCCCACCCACAGCTCTGGACATGAGTTTCTCGCCTGCCTAAAAGATGACAGCAGGAACTGGATCCTAGGGACTCCTGTAAAGCCCCTCCTTTCCCAGGAGCTCCTGGGTGGTGGGAAGTTAACGCTACAGACAGGCCAGGTAGGGGCACAGGCAGGGTATAGGGCTAGGATTGGGGTGGTCAGTGTCCAGGCTCAAAGTGCCTGTGGGTGGTGGCCCAAAGAGTAAGCTGAGGGGAAAGGCTGCAGGCAGCAGTGGGTGTGGAGTGTGCCAGGCGGGCACCCGTTAGTGCCTATTTCATGCCGCTGCGCAGCACCTGGTTGGCTGCAATGAGCATGACACTGATGATGAAGGCGATGGCGAAGGCGCAGATCAGGCTCTTGCGCACACACGTCTGGCGGATCTGCTGGTTGGAACAGGCTGCAGCCGCCCACCAGGAACACCAGGGGAAGACAGAAGGGGACAGCAAAGGGATGGAGTCAGGTCTGCACTTCGGCACGTGGACTTAACTTGGGGCAAACAAGGACACAAGGCTGGGGACAAGGAGGCCCCATGCAAACCCCTGGTGTATCCCCTGCTCAAGCATCGGAACCCACCCACGAGGTCCCAAGGCAGGCCACTCACTCTCCACGTCCACAGGACACTCCTCGGTGGTGCCCAGGTGGCTCTCCTCCTCGGTCATGATGATGTTCTCGATGTCCTTCATGGACAGATGCTCGCAGAAGGTGTCATAGAGGAGTCGCTTCAGCTCGTCCACTGTCAGCTTCTGCATGTCACACTTGGGTGGCAAAAGGGACAAGCTCTGACCACTACCCTGCCACAGTCCCCACCCAGCGCCCTGTAGGAACACAAGCCTCCAGATCCTGTAAGACTAGGACCACCTGGTCCATTGCCTCAAGGAGCCCAGGCCTCCAGGAAGCAGGACATCCAGTGGACAGTGGCCATTCCTCTCGTTACAGTGTGGATCTGACCACACACAGGCCCCTCAACACCTCCGCAGTCACACAGCAGAGTCCCGGCAGCCAGGGCATACCTTCCAGAAGACAGTGTCAAAGTCAGTACCGTGGAACTTCTCTGGGATCCCCGAGGTGGAAAGCTTGGGTCCCAGGAGTGTTACAAACTCCTCGAAGTCCACTTGGCCATCACCTAGAGTGGGCACAGGACTAATGAATGGGTCAGGCTGAGAGCATGATCAGGCACCCCAGAGTTCAAAAGGCATGAAATGGAGTCTTGGCCTGCCTCAGGCCTTCCATGGGACCTCAACCCCTTCCCTTAGCCTCCAGTCAGTTTCAGGGATGCCTAACATGCCAGGCTCTGAGCTGGTGATGGGGTTCTCCTGGGGGCTGGGGGAGGAGAGCAGCAGATGGTCCCCAGATGTGTGAACTCTACTAGTACACTCAGAACTCTCCATGGCTCCCCAGCACAGCGATCATCACTCTGCCATTCAGATGGGAGTAAGGCTCAGCATGAAGCTGGCTGCCCAGACCAGTGCCTGCTCTGGAGGGAGAGGAAGGGGCAAGGAGGCAACAGGTGGGATGAAGCAGAGGGGACTTGGCATTGCCAATCATTCTTATGAGTTTTTCTTTAATAAAAATAGCAGGTGGCAAATACAGCTACCATTTATTTGGGTGATGGAAGCTGAGAGTTATTTTACCCCCCTTTTCCAACCTTAAAATCCTTCTCAGACCACAGTGGAAGGGGCAGTCTTAGATCCTGTGTGTGGCTGTCACACCTCCTGTCCCCTCACTTTCTAGGCTGAGAAGTGCAAGAGGTAAGAGGCCAGAGCGGTCTCAGCCTCTATGGTTCAGGCGCTGGGGCCTAGGTTGATGGTGGGAAGGAGATCGAGGCAGGGCATCTCACCATCCATGTCCAGCCGCTGGATGATAACCTCCAGCTCCACCTCGTTGGGCATGTAACCCAAGGAGCGCATGGCTGTCCCCAGCTCCTGCTTAGAGATGAAGCCATTGCCATCGCGGTCAAACACCTTGAAGGCCTCTCGGATCTCTGTGGAGGAACAGAAGGCTGAAACCTCGGCCTGACCCCAGTGTCCCCTTTCCCAGATTCCTAGGATCTGAGCCCCACTCAGAACCTAGAACTCTGTCATAGGGTGTCCAGGTCACTCTTGGGCTGTGATCTGGAGTCTCTGGGCAGGCAAGGCAGAGGAGACAAAGGTGTAGCCGGCCTGAGACGGTGGCCACCCGTGGGTCTGACAGCCTTCTTGGTGGGCACAGGGAGAACGCCAGATTCTTGCCTCATCTTCCTGTTGGGCTTCCTCTCCCAGTTCAGACTCTTGCCGTCAGGCAGTATTAGCTCATGGTGGGATGGCCACGTGACTCAAGCTACTAAGTGATGGCTAAAATTCACAGGCCTCCTGGTTTAGACGCAGAGGCAGGCGGATCTCTGTGAGTTCGAGACCAGCCTGGTCTACAGAGCTAGTTCCAGGACAGGCTCCAAAGCCACAGAGAAACCCTGTCTCAAAAAAGCAAAAATAAATAAATAAATAAATAGAAAATAGATAAAAGAGCTGATCCCCACCAGGCCCAGGCATGATCTCTGAGCTTCATACTCTGCGTGGCATACTAGGAAAGATTGAGGACCTGAGGGATTCTGGGAGGAACAGTCCACTTGACTAGGACCTGGGGACCAGGCAACTTAACACATGCGCCCAGACCAGCCTTAGTCTCACCCACAGCAAGTGGGTGCAATGTGTGAGCAGCCCTCAGGCAGAAGCGGGGAGGGGGAGGACTTGAAGGGCCCTAACCTTTCACCTTTGCCCCACCTGTCTGTCTGCTTCTGCCTTGATTATCACACTCGGCAGGGTCCTAAAGAACATTGCCCTAGAGGAACAGACTTCAGTCCTTAGATCCAGTTCCCTGTGGGCTCTTGTTCGCTTGGCAGCCTCCTGGCCCCTTTGCCTAAGTTGTTCCCCTGACTCAGTAGGCAGTCAAGTCGTGTGTGTGTGTGTGTGTGTGTGTGTGTGTGAGAGAGAGAGAGAGAGAGAGAGAGAGAGAGAGAGAGAGAGAGAGAAAGAATAAAGACATGAGAGGCTCCATGCTGCTCTACTGAGGCCGGGAGGCCAGCCTAACTCTGAGAATTCAAGGCTCCTACACTGTGCTGCTAGTGACACGTTCACAGAGTGCGGGCCAGCAGTGTGGCCCTGCCACAGAGCAGAAGTCGTGGCCCACAGAAAGGTGGCTTGACCCCACCCAGGTCCCGGTCCTCACCTGGCTCTTCCATGTGGACTCATATATGAGAACTGGAGGTCAGAGTCCCACAGGTAGGCTGAGGTAAACAATACCCACTCCCCCCTACCCCGACACACACACCTCAGGCAAGTCTTGGGAACTGGTTTCTGTACTAGGAGCTTTAGGGCCAGGAAAGTAGCTGAGCTGAGCTGGCAGATCTGAGTCAGATCCAGGGGGTACTGAAAACTCTGGACCCTGGCAGCTCTAGGCCGAGTACCACCAACATTTTCCTGGGCCCCGAGGGAGGCAATTGCCCCTTGTGACCAGAGAAGGCCTGGCAGCAGTTATGGCTGCTGCAGAGCCAGGACTGCTGCGGAGAACTGTCTGGATAGTGGAGGTGTGCTTCCGTTCTTCCTCCCCCGCCCCATCTCATTTCTAACCATGTTGTCACCTTTCTGGACTGGTGTCATGGGCACAGTCCCCAGGGGGACCCTCAAGCCTGGGGACACCAAGGCCGCTCTGAACCTGCTGCTGCTTTGTCTGCAGCGTTATTCTGTTCTCGTATCTAACTCAGGTGTAGCCTGGAGTCCCGGCTGGCATGACTCTGCCGCTCTGCCCCGAGCTGGCCTGGTCTTTGCTCTAGTTGCCCACCCCTCCACACATCTTCTCTTCCCCTAAAATGGATTGTTCTGCGACAGTGTCCTCGTTCCCTGGAGCAGGACCTGTCACTGGAAAAGAGACCTGCTGGATAATGAAAGGACGGAATGGCCGACGTCGGGCCGGTCTCCTAGAGCCCTCAGAGGAAGGCTCAAGCAGAGGTTTGCGTGCCTCGTACAAGGTCTGTAGGCCACCCACAGAGGAGAGCGATAAAGCTGGAGGTGGGGAAGCAGCCACGGGTTGGTTTGGGGAGCGGCACAGTCAGAAATTGTACCCCTTGGAAAATGAAGTCAATTAGGGAGCTCAAGGAAGGATGGGAAAGTCCTAGATACGGCGGGGGCTGCTGCGAAAGCCACCCTCTGCTGCGAGCTGATGTCTGAGCAGGGTTCAAGGTGACTCCCCAGTTGCAGGGCTGCCCTGATGCCCTTTTCTGAGGCCCGCGAGGAAAATGCACCAGACAGGAGGGACAATAATGAGCAAGTGACTTTCGGGATATATGCTCAGGGGACGGGCTCTGAGACAGCCGCGTGGGTACCAAAGACATCATGGCTCAGGCAGGGCTGACCTCCCAAGGCTACTGGGTAAACTCATAGCCGGCCGCTCTCCATCTGTGCCTCTCCCAACCCCCACCTTCCCAGCTCACCTAGCTCACACTAATGTTTCAGAGCGCCGACCCAGCCCAGTTCACCTCCATCTGCCGACAGAGGCCCAGGGAGTCAGAGAAGCAGCTGCCATCACAGACCCGGGGTGAATCCCAGCTCTGGCCCATCGTTACCATTAACCTGTACAGTGCAGCTCTCTGTAATCAATGCTGGAACAAGAACAATCGTAGATGCAAGTGTCTGGCCAAGCCTGACTTTGAGGTGGCCATTGTCAATCAGACCATCCCAGATGGCAGTGTGGGAAGGGAAAGGAGGCCTGGGTGAACCTGGGATGCGAGGCTGGCCTGCGTGCTGGCTGGGACCAAAACCCAAGGCCTGGGTTTGAATTCTAGCTCCCCCCTGCTCAGCAGCCAAGACCGGGGCAAGGCACTTATTTCCCTCTGAGTCTAGGATGAGGTTCTTGTCCCATGGCTGGGGTCTGGCCTCTGCTAAGGGCTCCTTAATGGGGTGGGTTTCAGGGTGCCTGTCACTGTATGTCATGGACATATTGCTAGGTGTATTCCCCGAAAGCCTTGTTCCTTCCCTGCCCTGTGAGGCCAGACAAAACTCATTGTACTCCATCTTGGCATAGGGATGTCTGGCCCGGGAATGGGCTGGCAGGGCCTCCAAGTTTCCAGGCTGATATTGTCCCCTACTTGCAGTTTTTAGTCTGGCATTCCCAGCCCCTCCCCAACCTGTGGCTGTGCAGGGGCTGAGTCTCTAGCAGACCCAAAAGGAAGCAGTGTTCTGCCAGAGAGTTTGTCTGGATAGACAGGGGACACTGGAGGAGCAGTAGTCATCTGTGGTGGCTGCCATTGTCCGCGGCATTGGCCCTGCGCCCCAACTCTTCATCCGCCCTGATTTTTTGGCCTGTGCAGAGGCGGCTGCTGAGCTTGGCTTAAGGAAGCAAAGGCAGAAAGGGGGGGGGGGTGTATGTGCACCTACCCTAGTGCCCCCAGTTGGCCACCCTCAACACAGGCTCCACAGTCAAGTGTGCACCCCGGAACTTAGCTGTGTGGCCGTTTGCCTCTCTCCTCTTCCTGGCCGGCCATTTCCATCCCTACCCTTGAATGCTGGACCAGTCTGTCTCGTTGTTCCTGGAGGTCCCTGCTTGGATACATTCAGAAGGCGGGGGGGGGGGGGGGGGGGGGGGGGGGGGGTTGTTCCAACCATGGTGGGGGTATTCAGGAGAAGTACACTTGCCTCTCTCACAGGGGCTGGGGTGGACCTCCAAGTTAACTCTGCTAGCCCCTTCCTCCTCCTGCCAATTAGCTATGAACAGCTTCCCTAGGGCCAATGGTCCCCAGTCGGGCCCCTCACTCGCCTCCTTGGCCAATCCCCACGCCCCTTGCTGCCACCCTACACTCTCTGGCTCATAGGGTGCTCTTCCTCAGTCTCTTTTGCTGTTACATTTGGGTCCTCAGCCCCCACCGCCAGGCCCTGTGCTGAGTACTCCCACGCCATCCCTCCTGGAAATGACAACGCCAACCTGCTTTTATAGACGCGGAAACCAAGACTCAAACGATCGTCCAAGTTCACCCCACGAGCCAAGAGTGTGGAGACTCGAACCCAGTGCTGCCTGGCTGTTCTCATTTCACCCCCACATCCCCCTCCTCCCTTCCTGCTCTTGGTCCCCCGCCCACACAGACTGACCGCCCCCCCTGGATTTCTGCAGCAGGCAGGCACGAGGTGTCTGCAGTATTTCATCCCAGGCCACTACTACCCTCTCTGGTCCATGTGGCTTCCTCACAAACTCCTTCCAGCAATGGGCCTGGGTCTCACCCCAACTGCCCCGGGACAGGAATTGCTAGTGTGTCCTGGAGAGACTGAGAGGGCAGAGGTAGCATCTGGAGGAAGGACAGCCACTCTGCACTCAGTCCTGGCATGCAAGCCTGCTGCAAGGAGCCCAGGACCTGGACAGGGCCTTCGCAGCCAAGAAGAACCAGGGACAACTTCCTGCCTTCATGTGCAGATTCCCACAGGCGTCTGCTGGCTCTGTGCCCTCAACCTGCCAGCCACAGGAATGACCCTGTCCTTCAGGTGCCCCCTGCATCAGGGTCCCTCTGCTAGCCCTGAAGGGGATCAAAGAGAAGCAGGGTGTGTGTTTGGTAGGACGGTGACTAACGCGGCTGGGCTTCTGCCAGCATGTCCGCGGGATGGCTCAGATGGATCTTGGGCCTCCTTGCCCTTGCACTGCCCACCATTGTCCTACCCACCCCTGCATGCCAGTCTCCCTCAGCTTCTCCCTGTCCCTGAGTGTGCACTCTAGGACCAGGGGATCAGGAGTGGAGGGACACAGTGAGACCTGGAACTGTGGAGCCAGGGTCATGGGTTGGGATGCTGGAAGCAAAGGAGGGAATGAAGCCAAACCTGCCTGGAGTCTGGGAAGACATGTTGCCTCTGTCCCAGGCATGAGGAGGAAGGCTTCTGCGTGGCCCAGAATAAGAGGCGATAAAGTAAAGGAAAACTGGCCTGTGCCGTGTGCCCCTCCCAGACCCTATCACCTCCCCCCTTTCTCTCCACCTGAAGGAGGCTCTGCTTTGGTCCAGACAGGACAGGACCTGGGTTTCACAGGGTGAATGCTAAGGTCAGGTCAGGGACAGCATCCTTCCATCTGTCCCGCCTGTGTTGCGGCCGAGACGCCCCTCTGTACCTGAGTGCGGGCTGGCTTTGGGAAGCAGTGTCTGGTGCCTGTGGTGCAGTGAGCATGGGAGTTGCTTTCTTTTTTCTCTTTCTCGCCACAGTCTACTCGCCCAAAATTTGCCCCAGGCCAGGCCTGGCCGAAGAAAAGACTTTATGAAAGGCTCCTCCTGAGCTCCTACTATCGTCCTTTCTGTGTTGGTCCCTCCAATGCATTCCTATGGGCTCAGATGAGACCCCAGAGCTGAGACCCTTCGACTCCAGCAATAGGAGACTGGCCCATTCTCTGGGTAATATCAGCCCCTCCCCCAGCAGCCGACAAACATCCTAAGGGACCAAGACTCCCTTCAGTTCAGAGTCCCTGACTCCACTCCATATGGGTCCTCAAGAGGCCTGGGGGAGGGGAATCTTGAGCATACCCCCGCCCCCAATCTCAGCAGAGAAGGAGCTAGGAAGGCCACAGGGGTCTCACTGCGCCCCAGGACACTCAGTCTGGGAACCCCAGCCGCTGCCTGCTGCGCTGATCTTCAATAGCCAACAGCCTGCAGTCCCTATTCCCGAAAGGCACAAGGACTAGGGTCGGGGGAGGATTGGGTTCCGGCCTCTGCCTTTCCCTTCCAGGCTTCGCTAACGCGACTGAGCCTCCCAATCCGGCCACTTGTTGTCGCCACCGCCTCCCGGCCGCTTTGGCAGCGCACGGGTGGGGGGTCCCTCGCAGGGGATGAGGGCAGCCCCGGCACCCGGCAAGAGCGGGGCAGTCGCCCTCTCCCCTTCTCCCGCTGCCGGAGCGGATTGGATTCTGAACGCGACACGAGCGGAATGTCAATAGGAGCGCAGAGCCACGGGCGGGCGCCGTAGAAGGGATCAGGATGCGGGCGCTCAGGCGGCGGGCGCGGGGGGCACAGCTCGGACCCCCAGCTTCAGCCCCCGCCGCCTTGCCGCACCGTCACCGCGGGCCAAGCGGCCCAACGATCCCGCTGCGGGGCCCCGCAAGTTTCCGCAGCGCCGGGGGCCACGCGGGCAGGGGCCGCGCTGTCCCCGCGCCGCGGCAACCCTTACCGCGGAGCACCGGGCAGCCGGGCCGTCCCGCCTCCCGCGCAGTCGTTCAACCGAGTCGCGCAGCAGGGTCCCCGGCGCCCCCCGGCCAGCCAGCGCAGCACCTGGCCGCACAGGTAGGAGAGCTCGTGGCGGGGGTCCCGGCGGGGCACTCACCCTCCAGCTCGTCCTCTGGAATATCCACCGGGCGCTGCTCCGACAGCAGGTTGGGCACGGTGTAGATGCCCCGGTACATCAACGCCGCCGTCACCGGGTGGAACGGCATCTTGGAGGCTCCGCGCCCGCCCGCCCGCCGCAAACTTTGAGGCCGGGGCTCATGGGCCGCCGGTGGCCCCTGGGGCGGCCGGAGCGGGCCGGGCGCGCGGTGCGGCGCGCGGTGGCGGCGGCGAGGTACGGGGCACCCGCCCGGGACCTAGCGCCCCCGCGCCCCGGGCCGCCGGGCCATGCCGCCAGCTCCCTCGTCGGGCTCCCGGCCGGGGCCTCGCAGGGACAGCGGGGGCGGCGCCGCTCCGGCCTCTCGGCTCCGGCTCCGACCGCCGCACGCTGCGCTCCCTCCGCGCTGCCCCGCGCGCTCTGCGCTGCTCGCCGCCCGCTCGCTGGTGCGGCCACCCGGCCCGCCGCTCCGGCTCCCGCCGCCGCCGCCTGCACTCTAGCTCGCTTGCTTGCTCGCTCTGCGCGGCAGTCGCCGCGCTCCCGCCTCCCCCGCCCGCCCCTCCCGCCCCCGCCCCTTCCCGCTGCCGGCCCCTGAGCGGCCGCCCCGAGCCTGCCCGGGCGCCTTCTCTCCGGTTCGCCCCGATTCTGCTTTCCCCCAGTCTGCTTCGGATTGTTGTCTCCCGCACCCCACGTTCTCAGCCAGCGGGACCACGGTGGTGTGGACTGGGGGTGGAGCTGTTCCTTGTACCCACCGTCCCACCTGCCCCTCTAGCCCTCCCCCAGCAAGCGCGGAGAGATGAGAACTAACGACTAGAGACCCAGAAAGGTGAGGTTTCCCCAGGCGCGGGGATCCTCAAAACCAGTGATCCTCGTGTTGGTGCCAGGAGAGCCTCCAAGGTGGGGAAACTGAGGCTTAAAAAAGGACGTTGGCCAAGGTCACCAAGCAGGACCAAGCACAGATCTGCTCTGCAGGAGACTACCGGCCTGTGACTGACACCAGCAGTTGACTGGATCCCACACAGGGCTCTAGTCCTGGATCCTCCAGTCCTGGATCCTCCTCGGGGCCCCTGCCACTCAGTTTGCAGGGCAGTAGCCAAGGTCTGTCTCATGTCCCCAGGGGCAGTGAGGAGGAGACAGATGCCCCAGGGCCTGCTGGTCACATGGCTGCAGGTTAGACCTTCCTCAGATCTTGAGCATGTGTGCTACGGGGGTGGGAACAAGTGTCTGAGGGCAGCATGTGCATGTGTTTATCTTATTCTTCGTCCAGGACACTGTGTACATGCGTTTTCAAATCCACATGCCGATGAGTGTGCATGACCACCTACGTGTGCCGGGACTGGGAGCTGGCAGGGAAGGGCATAAGCCAGGAGGCAGGTGTGGCCAAGTGTGAAGGCCCTTGAGTTGGGAGTGGCATGCACACATGGATGGGCACAGATATGTGTGCACAGGTACAGTTATGGGATATGGTGACCTTCTGGCCTGGGTGGGCCTCAGCTGGAACCCCCGTCTGAACTATCTCCCTTGCCCCCTTGAGTCCAATCAGCCGAAGGCCCCAGCGGGAAAGCTGATTGCCACATCCCTGCCCGGCCATGCCCTTCCCAAGCTGATTACATTTTTCTGCTTGTTTCTGCTTTTGTTGATGATTAATCATAGCCCTGACTTGGGCCGGGAGAGAGGGGGCTCGGTGAGAGACACCAGCCCCAGCCACCCTGGGCCAAGGCAGCATTTGGACATGCTCTGAATCTTCACAGGCATATGAAACCTGTCGAGAAGCCAGGCAAACCCCAGCTGTCATCTGAATGTCTGCCTCAGGCCTCTGGAGCAGCTTGCTGCCTGTACAGACCTGGGGTTGGAGTTGTAAGAACTCCCAGAAAAGCCCCCCAAAGCTCTTCTTGACCATCCACCGAGTCAGCTGGGTCCTTATGACCCCTTAGGACTTCTGATGGAGCAGAGCTGTGGCGAAGAAAGAATCGGCCACAGACCCAGAGACATTGCATCTGCTCTTGATCTAACACCTCCCTTCGATGGGACGTCAGTCATGTCCCTTAACCTCCCAGGGCCTCAGTTTCCCCACATGTGAGGTAAATGGCACCGCTCAGGCAGGGAGGAAAATGAAGTGATCTAAGTGAATGGGTCCTGACCTCCCGGGATCTCTTGGGGTTTCCTATTAGCACAAAAATCCCCCCATGGGAATACAAACTACTAATCATGGTGTCAAGTATTGATCGAGGGGTGATCTGTAAGCACCTCACTTGCTAAGCCTTCCCAGACAGTTTGCCAAGGGAGCTGCTGACAGACTGGCAGGAAGCACACCTCTTGGTTCTTTCTTGGGAGGCCGCCACAGCGGGACAAGGCAGCTCCCTCCGGTTCCCTGAAGCTCCTGGCCTTGCCGCCCGGTCAGGGAAAATCTGAAAAGAAGAGACAGAAAGGAATGAAGATCAAGTGGGCATCCTCCATCCAGCCAGGCCCTGCGAGTCTATGCTGAGGGCGGGTGTCCATAGATACAGGAACTGGCCCCCAGACACTGACCTTGGTCTGCTTCCAAGGGGTCAAGCTGTCCACATCCTCCAGGTCAGAGTGGCAGGAAACTCTGGGATGATGGCTTTAGCATCACAGTGTACCACACCCTCCTGGGCAATCTTGGACATTTCAGTCCAAGCTGGTCCCTCCACTCTCGCCTGATGCAAAGCCACAGCCACTGACCCAGAGGGCTGCCCTTTCTGTATAGTACCTGTACCTGCTCCCCTTTGCCTGCTAGCTGGGGCCATAGGACATAGCTGGGCTATGCATGCAAATCGCCTGGTCCCCCCTCCTCAATGCCTTGCTCTCATTCACAGGCAAGGACATGCCTGCTGAGGGAGCTATAGAGACCAAATCCAGCTGTAGAGTCTTCTGAGGCAGAGCTGGAGATGAGGCCCAAGGCAGAGGCAGGGGCTCCCGAGGCCAAGCTCTGGCGTGTGCTGGCTCTCCCTGCTCTTCTAGACTCTGGGAACCTGGCTGCTCTGGGAAGCACTGCCAACCTCCCCCACCCTCCAGTGCTGTGTGTGACATTCAACGGGCGGCCCCCATGTGCCAGCCCCTGCATTCAATGCCAGCATGAAGGCAAGGCACTGCTGTGCCTAGGGCCCACAGAGCAAGGGCCACAGGGCTGCAAAGTGTGGCTGACACCAAAGTCCTGCTGTCTGATGTCGGTGGGGCAAAGCTTTTACAGAGGGGTATGGAGGCAGGACTTTGAAAATCTCAGGGCATGGGGTCAGGAAACGTGATGTGAGGAACAGTCAGAACTCTAGAAGCCAGAGCTCACTAGCAGGGTCCTACTGAGCCTCAGTTTGCCCATCTATTAGATGGGAATGCATCTAATACAGAACAGTAAGGCTCTGATTTCATCAAGTCAGGAGAAGTCTGTTGTGGAGAGAAGAGGTTCAAGATGTGAAGATCACTTTTAGCTTTAGAAGGCAGCTCTGGGGGCTGGAGAGATGGCTCAGCAGTTGAAAGCACTATCTGCTCTTCCAGAGGAGCGGGTTCAATTCCCAGTACCCACCAGACAGATCACACCCGTCTGTAACTCCAGTTCCAGGAGATCCTGTGGTGATATTTTGCTCGTGTTCTAACAAATAAAGCTTGCCTGGAGATCAGAGTGAGAAGCTAGCCGCTAGTGAACCATAGAGACCAGGCAGTGGTGGCACATGCCTTTGATCCCAGCACTAGGGAGGAGGAAACAGGAAATGGTGGCTGGGCAGAGAGGAATATAAGGCGGCAAAGACAGACTTGGTCCTTTGGTTTGAGGGTCTAGTAGAGGTGAGGAGTTGCTCAGGTGGCTGCTGTTCCTTTCTCATTAGCATTTAGAAAATACAAAGTTAATAAAGCATTATGCAATCTACTGCTGGGGTTTATTAAACATATCTTTTAGAGGTCAATTTGCTCTTTCTATATCTGCTCTCCCTCTAGGAGTGTGTAGTGTTCCTGTAATGTGCTTTATATTGTAACACTCACGCGGACACACGTGCAGGCAAAACACCAATGCGCATAAAGAAATCATGAGGAAGGCAGGTTCTGAGTCCTCATCCCTCCGGCTCCCCACGTGTGAGCTGGACTTGGGCAGAGGACCGGGAACCCTGTGAAATGAGTGTGAGAGAGAATGAATGCCTGACAGTCACCCAGCTGCCCTGTCCTCTCTGCACATCAAGGGAGCAGACAGTGAGATCCCAGGGTGTGAATTACGTCTGTCGCTCCCCATCTGGGGAAGGAGATGTTGCCATCACACTGCACTCCTAGGGTGCCCACTGGAAGATGCATGGGCCTCAGGCCTTCTCGAGGGGATCTCATGGATCTCAGGGCTTATCCTTGGCAAAAGGGACTGGGGGGCCAGGCAGTGGTGGTGCATGCCTTTAAACTTTGGAGACAGAGGCAGGCGGATCTCAGTGTGTTCGAGGCCAGCCTGGTATACAAAGCGAATTCCAGGACTGTTACACATAGAAACCCTGTCTCAACACACACACACACACACACACACACGCACACGCACACGCACGCGCGGTCTGGAGAGTGCGGAAGGGTGATTCACTGAAAGCTTAAACTGTTTCCTCAACAGCCATCCCAGCAAGAAGAGAGCAGCAGCGGTTCGCCAACTCCAGAGACTCACTCTGTCCTCCCAAGAGCGGCAGAGTTCCTGCCCTGCCCAAGACCAGGGCCCCTGGAGGCCTCTCTTCTCAACACGCACGCCCTGGCTGGATCTGCTCTCTGACACCGGCTACCTCTTGCCACCCACGTTCAGCACCAGGGAGAGCGCACAGTACGGCTTTGGCAGGCCTTGAGCTGAAAGGAAGCGGTGTAGGACCCGGGAGAGCCTGCCAAGACAGGCTGAACCAGGGACCAGAGGAAGCCAAACTTGAGGAAGGTAAGCACCAAGGTCGCATCTGCACCCTTGGCCACAGTGTTGCCAGAGCCAAAAGGCCTGACTGGAAAGAAGCGATGGGGTGGAGAGGCAGAGGTTGGGGAGAGGGGGTGTCTAGGGACAGCAGAGGCTCTGGCCTCTGCGCCTTGGCTGGAGAATAACGTTGTTCCAAGAACCCAGTGGGGACAGTGTCTGGAGGGGAATAAAATATTCATCGTCCAGGCACTCACTTGATGAATAATGAAATGTGTACGCTTGCAGATTCAGGCCGGCCAGGAGAGGGTGCAGTCTGGAACCCCTGGGCTCCGTTTGCTCGGATCCCTGTCCTGTACTGAACACCCCTCTGAACCTTCAGAGCCTGGCTCCTGAAGGGGACAGGATCAAACATGAGAGCATGACCAGTCGTCTGAGGGATGTGGAGAGTCAGTCCTTAAATCTGTTTCTCCTCCAGAAGTAACTTGAAGACGGAAAAGAGCCCAGAGGTGTGGGATTCAGGGTAATGGTGATGAACCCTGACTACAGGCTGTTACCGGCTTCGTGCCCTGACGGTGGC